TTTCATCCAAATTGGTTTGGTACATCAAAAGTTATGGTCAAAAATGTGTAAAACTCTTAATGTTAACAATATATATATATATATATATATATAATATAGTATATATCTTTTTGGATTGGATACAAAAGCACATTAGAAAGATACACTTAAGGTAGTTTATATAATTCAAGAGAGTTTTTTGTAAAAGACCTTTAATATTTTTAAAAGTATAAGTCAAGAATTAAGACTTAACATTAGGCTCTTTTTTTAGATTATATTGTTTGAAAATACTAAAGATAAGTATAATATAAAAATAGATTACAGTATATAAAAAATTAAAATACAGTACTAAAAAGCTGCATTTCACATATTCTGAATTGGTTAATAATCTGTTATTATTTATTAATTAGAAGCTCAAAGTATTCATTCTACTATTAGTAAAAGTAAAAGTCTTGAAATAACTATGAATAGCAGAAGTTGTGAAATAACTATTGCTAATAAAAGCTCTGAAATAACTGAGAGCTCTGAAATAACTAATATTAAAACAACTAGTAGAAAGTGTAAAAGAGTAGAATCATTGGTTTTTAAAGAAGGCCACTTTATACACCATGTTTCTCAAAACATAATAATCATTGTTTTATAATGTTGTTTATTAATTTTGTAAACTAGTTAATATCTGTATTATATAATTTGTTAGCAAATTTTTTAAAATGTACACATTGTAGTAATATTCTAAAGCATGATAATGACACAAGTATCAGCTCTCTAATTTGTCACATGAGAAAAACTAATATAAAAACTATTTAAATAATAAATCATAACAAATGTTGCAGTTATCTGCATTAGGTCTTATTATCTATAAATTTTCTCAAGAAAAAAGTCATCAAGACATAACTGAAATAATTATTAGACATGCATATTTATTTCACATAGTTGAACATGAAAGTTTATAAAGTTTATTAATAATTTATAACCAAAATATAAAGTAGTATATAAAGAAACAGTGCATAATAATTGTGTAAATATTGTTAAAAAACTTAAAGTAAAGGCATGTACAATGATAGAAGAAACACCTGGACATCTAAGTTATACAACTAACTTGTAGACATCGAACCAAACTTTGGAGTACATGGCTGTTACCTGTCATTTTATAGATAGAAATTGGAAGCTTCAAAACTTGGTTATATCATTTAAATTAGTTTCTACACCATATACAAGGGTTACCATTAGTGAAACTCTTTTAGAATGTTTTAATGATTGGAATATTATATCAAGAATTTTAGTGATTACTATAAACAATGCAACAAGCAATGATGCCATGATTACTAATTTGAAACATAAACTTGATAAGCAAAATATGCTTGTTGCTAAAGAAAATTTACTGCATCAATAATGCTATGCCTATTATTAAATCTCATTGTTAATAATGATCTCAAAATGGCTAAAAATATTGTTAGCAAAATTAGTAAATGTGCAAAATGGATTCACAGTTCACAGTTCAAGTTACAAAACTTTGAGAATGCAATCATTAGGTACTGTCCTAAGCTTGTAACAAGTCAAAAACCAGCCCTTGATGTATCTACTCATTGGAATTCTGTTTACTTTATATTAATATCTATTATTCCATATAGAAGAGTGTTTGAACACCTTGCATTTCTAAATATTAATTTTGAGCAAATTATGCACAGGTCGAATAAATGAATAAAGGGTGAATAATAGATAAATAACAGAAAAAAAAACTGCCATTATTCTACCCTATATCCACTAAATAATGGTAGCATAACAGCAGCATAACATCTGAATAACAGTAAAATAACATGAGGTTTGTCAATATGAGTAACATAATAGTAACATAATAGCAAAATAAAAGAACAGTTCTATTATTTTACTTTTAGTTACAAAGACTAAAAGT